AATAAGAATAAAAAATATGAAGATGAAAACATGAAACCAAAATAATGAAGATACATGATATGAAACAATGATAAATAAATAAAAATGAAAAAATGAAAAGAGAGATTCCAAACCAAACTATATTTCACGACACTCTTCGATTATTAAAGTCTACAATCGTCCTCAAATGAAAACTGACAACTATTTCATTTTTATTTTTATTGATTTCATACAATTCACATTTCACTTATCGTTTGAACTATTTATCAATTTATTTTCATTTCAATAAGTGATTGATTCTTATTTCTCTGTGACAGTCTCAACTGAATAAGTTGGTCCTCTTACTCTATTATTCCAAATAACTCAACTATTGACATGACTGTTATAAATTTTGCCCACTCAATTGGATAAAATTCTGTTCTGAATTTGCAAATTGGATTGCTTTACAAAATTAATTATTTTTCATTTCTGTTCATAATTTATTCACAGAATTTTCATTAAACTTGCCCATTTTCATACAAACATATGTCGGGAAAGACACAATATAAATGTGATCTTATCATTGATTCTTTAGCAACATCGCCGGAAGCAAAAAAGTTGTTATGTTCAAATAATATACACTGGTCGATGCAAAAAAAGTGCTAGACATGTGAAAAAATATACAGATGGAATAAATGTAGAAAGTGAAGCGAAAGGAAGCAACATCATTTGAAAGTGAAAGAAATGGTATTTTACTTTTTTTTTAAATTAATGTCTCGCGAATATATTCATCCTAGAGACATTATTTCTGGTGGACGCCAAATGAATTGTTTTTGAATGGACTTAAAATTGTCGCCAAATGTTAATATACTATATATAAAATATGTGTTCAAGAAGAAGGCGGAGTTTTTGAATATTTACTCGATATTTTGTAGCTCTCTATTCGCCAAAACAAAGACATATTTTGTACTAGTGAAAGAAATAAATATTTCCACATAAGTCTCTCATTTTCAACTTTAGGAAGAAAGGTGTTATGAGCTTTGTTGTTGAGAATGTTATTACGAATCGAAGTGCATGATATAATATAGGGTAATCCCTTAAAAAAAAGTAACATTTCATGAAATATTTTGAAAACGCGACTGTCTTTTTTTTCGACATCTGCCATTAAAAATGCTACTAGTTTGCCCTTCCAACCGAATTCGTAGCATCAATAATAACAGAGTTGGCAATGGTGCCTAGTTGATTTGGATCACCCTGTTTACTAAATATATCCAGATGAAAACCATACCTAAACTGATTTTATTTTCTATGAATACACTAACCTTTTATACGCCTAGTGTTTTACTTCACGTTTTAATTTCGACTACGTCAATACTTTCAAAAATATATTTTTATCTATAAATTTTCACCTTGTATCTTCGAAACACACTTGCTTTCAAATGATCATCGGAGGACAAATACATGGTGTAGAAAATAACACTTTGAATTTTTTGCCGTATGGTGAATAAACAATTTGTATAGATGTCAAGAACTTCAGCATGCTGAACATTTTCCATTTACATATTTTCAGGGTTGTCTAACGAATATGGTCTATATAGCTCATTTTTGGGTGCCTTCGTCTACATTTTCATCGGTAGTTGTAAAGATGTTCCAATGGGTCCTTCAGCTATTTCAGCTTTGATGACTATGCAAGCCGTAAAAGGAATGGGACCAGAATATGCCATATTACTTACTTTTTTATCGGGATTAACCCTGCTCATTATGGGGATTCTAGGACTAGGTGAGTGTTTTTTTTGTTCTTCAAGGAGAAAAAATAGAGATTCACATTATTTATATTATTTAATTATGTATTTTTATCTTTAGTTCGCTTTATTTTTCAAATTTCGTCAAAAGATGTCAAAGCTGTTCTGAAATGTTATATATGATGATGTTGATGTAATTTTTAAATATTCGATGTAATGCATCGTAATGCAATTTTGAAAATTGACAATTCCAAATTATGGTACTCGATGAGCTCTATTCAATATCAATTATTTTCATTTTCAAGGCTTACTGTGACCTGCAAAATGGATCGAAATTTCGAGAAGGACCATTAGGCATTTTTTATCGGAAAAGTGGATTTTGGGCATATTTCGAACATCTAGATTCCAAGTTTCAGTCCAATATTTCATACAGGCTATTAGTAATATGATGAAAAATTTTCAAATCCATGATTTTTTTACTGACCCTGTATGAAAGTCTATGAACTTCACAATAATAATACTTCGCATACTCAGCTACAAGTACATAGATTAAATTCGTTTCAAGGAGTTGTCTGTAGTTTAATAAAAATCAACAAATGAAAAGTAGCAAACGTGTTTTCAATTTTAGAAAAAATACAACAAGAATTATTGGAACTATTTTTTCAGATATTAGAGCTTCCAATATATCCTCCTTCAAGCTCTATACATTTTTCATAACGTCGTCTCAAATTCTGTTGGGTTTACCTCAATTGGTCTGCTGTTATTTTTCCACACGTTTGCCTTATTATCATCTTCTTCAAATCGTTCAAATTTCGTGGTCTATTTGTATAAACACTTTCTTTCAAATATTCCCACATAAAAAAATCTAATAGAGTCAGGTCTGGTGATTGAAGGGGCCAATATCTTCCTTGAAATTTTTCATTAAGATATTGCCGCACAGCAATCATATTGTAAATGGAGGTACCGTCTAGTTAGAATATAACAATTCTGCGTTCTTCAATGCTCAGTTCTTTCATGAAATCCAAGAATTCCGTTGTCAAAAAATAATAAAATCCTCCGTCGTTTAGTGTGTTTTCAAAAAACACTAGACCTATTATACGGTTTTTGAATATTCCTACCCTGACATTCTTTTTCGTAAATATTGTCTTTTTGTGTTTATCATCTAGTGTGGATTCTTCCTTGCCCAGTATCTGGAGTTTTGAGTAGACACTGTAACGTTAGTGGTAAATATCGCCTCATCGGTGAAGAGAATATTGCTCAGCATTTCTTATTATTTAAATATTCACCTTGGCAGTATAAACAGAATTCCAATATTCGTTTCTCATCGCCCCCTCTCTAACGTGTGCATGATTTTCGGTTTGAAGCAAAAACTTTTTTTTTTCAACCATATACGTGATTTAGACGTACTTACGTATGAATCGCATGGAATCTGCCGCAAGTTATTTTTCGGGTTTTCTTGAACATACTTTAAAATTTGCCCGTTTATTTCTATATTCCCTTTGTCTCGGTACATTTGTTGACGATCTGGATATCTTCTGTTGAATTTTTCCGCGGCCACCCTCGTTGATCGAGCACTATCACCAACTAAACGCCAATTATCTCGACTATGTTGAGATTTACAATTTTGAAAACTCGCAAAACCCTTATTGATCTAATCAATCTGAATCTAATCAATCATGAGAATTTTGCCAAAATCTGTCTTCGGATTCAGACAAATGTTTAAAAAGTTCCACTATTTTTATGCTTGTCATGACTGCTTGACATTTGTTTATTATTTCAAATCAAAATCATAGTTTCTTTATCCAATTCTGAAGAGTTTTGTCACAACAGCTCACGTTATCGCCGGAAGTATTCAATTTCTTCCTTATGATTTCAGTTGTAGGAATCTCATTGCTTTTGTAACAGTCGTTTATTGTTTTATTAGCTGAACATCTAAAGGTTTTGGTTATCCTGTATCACATCGCGTCTTGCGTTCATAAGGTTTGGTTTTGACTATTTAACATACAGTTGAGAAAGGAATTTCGATCGAATCTGATGTTGCTTGTAATAGTTTGTTTTTCTCGAAACCAAACTTGACATGTAGATTCTTATATACATTGAAACATACTCTCTGTGTTTCAATATTCAAATGCATCCGATTCTTATTTACTGCTATTTCTTTTTCGCATTCTTCACTGACGCTATTGGAATCACAACACTGAAAAAAGTATGCGTTGTTATCACATTCGTTATTACTATCAACACTCATCCAAGGACGCCACATTTTAAACAGATAACAAAAATTTCAAGTAATTATAACTGCACCAATATCGAATTTCCTGAACTGAACATTGATGACACGATGGCGATAACCATCTCCGCATTCCCCGATTTCTATTCGTCACCGTAACATGACTTCAAATTTAATTTTATGACTCTTCAGCCAATCATAAAAGTCGGTTAGTGAAAATTATCCAATGAAAACTGCCAAGTCTACAGTCCACGCGGACTAGTTCGCTACCGGTTCATTTTTATGTATAGGTATTGATTTGTTTGGCCTTTGAGAATACTGCCAACTTCAAATGTGCACAATATCGTTCACTACGTATATAATAGAAGCACCCATTGAAATTCGTGAATGATTGTAACCTGAAGTTGTACAGTTGTACATGAGACATGATGTGATTTCTATGTGCACATGTCCCCATCCTTGAAATCATTTCTTTCCGCGGTCTCCCTATTCTGTGCAAAGTCACCCTGATCGACTCCTGGGTTTGAAAAGTAATACTCTATGATTATAGGGTATTACTTATTATTATTACGTGTTTTTAGAAATTGAGAGAAAAAAACGTTTAGTTGCTGGCTATTATGGACTATGCGTCCGACGGCCAAAAAAAATGTACTCTTTCGATAACAGTTGTATCAGATTCATCAATGGAAGGAAGTTGTTCTATGAAATCATCATGGCATTCATTCCAAATAGTAAGACATCGTCAACACACCTCTAAAACGGTTGTATATGTAATTTTGATGAAATGTTAGCATAAAAGTCTGTTTTTGCACAAAATCATTCTTGTACTCTGTTAAAAATAGTTTCATTACTTGTTTTCGCATTCATTTTCCTGCGGTAATTTATGTATCTACAGGTTTAACAAAAATAACATTTTATCATGTTTAAATTCTCAGTCATGTTTATCGGTTTGGAAAAACCGACCTGCCAGCCCTAACAACTGTACTTCGAATCGCTTATACATTCAAGTGGGTAATTTTATATCCAATCGGGTTCATGATACTTGGGTATGAAAAAACCAAGATACCTGAAAATGGCACCAATTTGAAGGGTGATAACCAAATTCATATAATGATAATAATAATAATAATAATAAGTTCGAAGCTTTCAACAGAGAGCTTCGACAGCCTGAGCTCAATGAACTGCGCAACCCGATAACCCCGGATGACGTTCGAAGAGCCCTTGTTGGTTCCAAGAACTTTGCTGCTCCAGGCCCAGATGGGCTGAACACTTATTGGTGGAAAAAACTACCAAGTACCCACCGCCATCTGGCCAGAGTTTTCAACTTATGGCTGGACGGAGAGCAGCCGATTCCGGATTGGTTTGTCGAGGGGCGGACCGTTCTCATCCCCAAAAGCGGAGATTTGTCGATTCCTAAGAATTACAGACCGATAACATGCTTGAATTCGTGTTATAAGTTGTTTACAAGCATCTTATACACACGAATACTCACCGCAGTTGACCGAGTGTTCGAACGGATATATGAGCAGAGAGGGTCGAAGAGAGGAGTCGCTGGATGTAAAGAGAACCTGCTCATCGATAGATGTGTAACGCAGGACTCGATACAATATAAGCGTAACCTCTCTATGGCCTGGATCGATTACCGTAAGGCATTTGATACAATTTCGCATGAGCTCATCTTGCATTTGCTCAGATGCCTTGCGGTACCCGACAACATAGTGAGATGCATTGAACAACTGATACCACTTTGGCGAACTCGCTTCACCATAACATCTGGTCAAGCAAGAGTCCAAACAGGGTGGGTCACTTTCAGAAGGGGTGTATTTCAGGGTGATTCCCTCAGTCCCCTTCTATTCTGCATCTCACTATTGCCATTATCCGTTGCGCTCAGAAACACTCGAGGGTATAACTGTGGCACCCCCGGAAACCGGAGGCACAAGGTCACCCATCTGTTTTATATGGATGATCTTAAACTTTATGCCTCTGGAGAAAAGGATCTCCATCAGTCCTTGAAATGATTATCAGATCGCTTACTAATTAATCTGAACAATTTATTAGGAGTTTTGCTTTCCAATAGTTTATAAAAGAATACAGATATGAGATAACGAATTCTAAACTCAATATTCAGCTGATCTTATTTCAATAAATATGGAGTTACATGATCACGGTAGTTTATACAGCACACAAATCTCATACAAGCATTTTGTATACGTTGAAGTTTGTGTTTATTATAGTCTGGCAAGAATTTATAATACACTGAGCAGCAATACTCAATATGGGGATAAATCAATGATTGAACTGATTTCAGTTTTGTTTCTTGAGAAAGCTGGAACTTGAACTTGTATAAGGATTTCAGTTTAAAAAAGCAAGTTTTGTAAATATGTTCAACGTGTCTCGTTGAACGAGAAAGTGTTATCGATATATACACCTAACTTTTTTGCTGAATTCACCCAGTCAATCGGTTCATTGTCAAGAAAAAGATGGAAATTTGTTTCAACTTAATTTCTTTGTAGGTCAGATCCCAAACATAGGGCTACTGTTATATTTGGATTTATTCGAAGGCCATGATTTTTGTAAAATAGAAGTGTATTTTCTAAATCTAAGTTCATCCTGGTGATAGCATGGTAAATATTATTAGATTAACTTGACAGATATAATTGAAAATCATCAGCATATAAATGTACGTCGCACTGGGATAACGTGGCAAGAAAGTCAAAAATGAAAAGAGATAACATTAATGGATCTAGAATGCTTCCTTGTGGTACACCAGAAAAAGTTTTCTGAAAAGATGAGCATAATTGATCATTA